CTTGTAGATGGATCGGACTATCAAGGGCAGATCAAACCTAGTTATAAGAGTAATGAAGAATGTGATCTGGCCTTAACTGAGCCTGAATTAAATTTGGACGATTTGCCACCTCCACGGCCACCCACTCCGACTGAGGTCGATGAAATACCTCCTCCCAGGCCGCCGGGGCCACACGATGTTTATGAAGGCGTGATAGCAAATGTCGGTTCACCTGTATATGATATCCCACCACCTCGCCCACTTCCCCCTGCTGCGCTTAAGATCACGCCGGCCACACCACCTATAACTGATGAGGTTCCCCCACCTAGGCCACCGGAGCCACGCGATGCATATGAAGACGATATCGGTCCACTTGCTTGTGATATACCGCCTCCTCGCCCACAACCTCCCGCCACGCTTGAGGTCGCCCCTCCTCCCCCTCCTCTTCCCTCTCTAGACGATACCTTTGAAGATGAGGTCTTTGAGCACGCACCCCCGAGGCCAGACCCTCCCAGCGACGACGCTGACGACGAGCGGGAGATGACACCCCCCAGACCCGAACCCCCGCTTGAGTACGACATCGCTTTCCCTCCGCGGCCATCCCTGCCCACTATACACGAATCCTCCCCATCCCCTTCCGACCTGTCCCCCACAAAGGAGGAACCACCGACAAAGACACAGAAAGAAACAACCCCTCCGTGGCCCGAGCCTCCTGTAATGACGCAATTTACCCCTCCCAGGCCAACAGAGGCTGACATGATGGCACAGCTGTCGCCACCTCTGCCTCCGCCACCACGTGTCGAGGCCGAGAAACCAGCGGCAAAGCTTGTTCCGGTCGAAGTCTTACCCGATACCTCATCGCCCTCGGACCAACCGTACACGTCGTCCTCGCCAGAAAAGTCCGGTACTTCGCCTGAAAAAGAATCGGACTTCGAGGCCGGAATCATCCCATCACCTCCTTCAGGTAGCGTAAACTTATAATACCATATAATACCATATCTGTTAAGGTATGATCAGTAGCATTTCTATGTTAGACTTGAGGGAGAATTTTTTGAAATCATTGTTGCTTTTACATAGTAAAATTCTCTACTTTTATTGACTAACTCGAATGAGGAATGTCACCTTGAAAAAGGTTGACAATGACTACGTGAATTTTTTTTCAGTTATATATGTACGATATTTTATATGATATTTTGTTTCAGATTAATGACCACTAATGCTTCTATACTGTCCATATTTAAAGTCGAAATAAGATCTTACTTTGTCTGTATCAGGCATTAATTTGTACAGGTTTACGTGATTTGCGTAATTTGTAGATATGATATACATTCTATGACATTTTGTTTCTTGTTTCATCGGGTAAGTGCAACTCGGTGGTTGCCAATCTTTTTGTACCAGCGACCCCCTACATCATTTTTTAGGCTAAGAGAAGGGGCAAGTATATTCAGCAATCCGTACAAGATTTATATACCTAACTGTAATATTCATGGACATGCTTTACCGTATATATTTATATTATCATTGACGAATCTCTAGTGAATTTATTTACCACATTTTTCCCAAAGACTTAACGACAACCTTGAAGGTCGCGAACCACTGGTTGAGAACCACTGATACTATTTGTACGATGCTCTGTGAAAGTATTTGAAACACGTACAAAACAACGATTTTAATTCAGAATTGTCTGTAATGGTCAAGAATATGGTCATAGATAATATAAGCATATTAGAATACCTGAAAAAAATATCAAGACAAGTGATGTAATCATTCACAACTACAGGAGCGCAACCAGCAGAAGCAGCACCAGCAGGAGACCCAACGTCTCCACGTCCCTTAGGTCTTCCGCCGCCCTTCCCTCGGCCCGTTGAGGACGAGGACGAACTCATGAGGAAGATGCGAAAGGTAAGACACCTATGAGCGTCATCGTCTTCTCGCGGTGCTTCCCCTAACACCGCTAAGCACAGAAGCAAAAACAGCTTTCTCAAAGACATTCTCAACAGGTCATTTCTGTTTATTGATAACCTCTTAATCTCGGCGGACATAGGACACAGTCAAGATTAAGATGGTATAGTCTTTGAGCTTCTTGTATTTGTTTTCGGTAAAGAATCTGGGCATTGTCACCGATAATTTGTGTCTGGAGTGTATATTAGGTTTATCGGATGTCAGTTACAAATATGTCGGTGTGGCTGAATTTTAATTAGTATTGCATATGGCCTTGGTAAATTTCTCATTTTTTTTAAACGACTCAGTTTTGTTCATGACACTGAATCCGTATTTGGGAGTGAGGTTTGAATAAACAAACTTTGTTACTATAAAATGTAAGATTTGTTAAAATGTGTTGTATCCAATGTGATATATGTATTTCTCTAATCAGTACATTGTGACATAAATTCAGTTCCGTCATGTTGATTTTATGGAAAGATCCATAATTTTGATAGCAAAATTATTAAATTTCGATGGCACAAAAGTATCGGGGAAGACACCTATAGCTTCAAGAACTTATCGTCGATTCAGTACTTCCAATCGACGGCTTCTGTACGGGGCGTTGATATTTATATATTTGAAATACAATATATAATATATGCCTCCGTGTAACCATGAGTGTATGTAACCGCCTTTTTTGAGAAACAATGTGGCTGGCATTTTTTTCCGTTGTTTTTTTTTATAATTTTACTTCAAAATCGTTGCTTATCTTGAAATATCCAAACGGCAAACTAAAGGAACTGATAATATGTAATACAGAGGCGATCATATTTACTGCGCTTCCTGTATTAGTCCCATTTCTGCATAGGAGATTAGTGATACTAGACGATTGTTTTGCGCATGGCTTCGAAGTCCGCAAACGGAAGTTTGTGTTGATGGATTATGCTGAATATATTTCAGCAGTTATGTCCGTGGATGTGGACATAATTGCTTAAATAATGATGACTATGCAGATAAGTATAGTCATTACGATACTTTTGGCAATTTATGAACCTACAGCTGGTAAAATGTATTATTACTTTGCTTTTAAATATTGTGTTCATTGAGAGCAATTACATTAAAAAGAAATTGGCATCATAACAATAATAGCTACAGGAAGGGTGATACTAGTCTGCGAATGTCACTGCTACTTAGATAGAGTCCCATTGCTCTTTTGGTTCGAAAACTATACCGTTTTCTAAAAAAAAAAGGATACTAAGCTCTCTTACACATCATGATACCACAAATCACATCAAAATTACTTCACATAACAGCTTGTTGCATGGATAAATTAACTATAATATGTCATTATGAATTTTGCCATGACGTTCATGTGATGCTTGCTTGCTTGATTATGAATGTCATTGCACCTTGTTTCTTTCGTGCATGGTATAAGTTTACTGAAAGCCTACTGCATTTGCTTGCATGTATTGTGCCTGATGTTTATATTTAGATCTCGTGCACTTAGTGTATTAAATTTACAGATAATGAGAATGAATCCGCCTGTCAAAATTTAGTGTTAATTGTATTGGATGACGGTGATAATGGCATTGAAGTAGCATTTTATGCACTGAACTATTTTTTCATGCATTTTATTTTTGATTTCCATTAATAACTGAGTCCTGTGTGCTTTATATTGCATTCCATAATGTACTTATTTTCCTTATTTAAGCACAGCATTCTGTTAACAGTTGCTACCAAATTATTTCCTTTTCTTTATGTTGCATTTTTTATTTCCTAAACAATGTAAACACTTCCCTTCACTATATGTTCACTTTTATCTTGTTTCTCTGCAGTGATATGAAATGTATTTGCACTGATTGTTGCTCTGCCCTCCTGCACTCTGCACAGACTTCCTTCCCTTCGGTTTTAGTTTTGTTTTGCCATTGTGTGGGCGGGTGGCGCGGGGTGACTTGCTGTCTCGACTGTATTTTCCCATGAAAACCATCCATTCTAGGTAGATAATGACATCACTTAAGAATTATTACTTTTGCCTTTTTGTTTTAGTCTCTGGTTTTATGAGCGAAATGTAATACACCATATATTTCACTAAAAGCAAGGTGATTTTTATCTTTCTTCCAACCTTCCCTGCGTCTTCCTTGGAGAGATGTCATTTTCTACACAGAGTGTTCTCAGAGATATTGCTCTCGAAGCCACACTTCCGGACAGTTATGATAGCAGTAGTTTCCTTCAGCAACGCTGGCATGAACACTGCATCGCTTAACACCATCAGACCATAGTCGGAGAGCTAAACGTAAAATTGGTAATGAAAAACAATACATTATATGTATATAATATATATATATATATATATATATATATATATATATATATATATATATATAAATATATATATATATATATATATATATATATATATATATATATATATACATATATATATATATATATATATATATATATATATATATATATATATATATATATATGTATGTATATATATATATATATATATATATATATATATATATATATATATATATATATATATATATATATATGTATGTAGATGTATGTATGTGAGTATGCATAAATAAATAAACAAATAAATAAATAAACGTATGTGTCCATGCATACGCGCGCACCTATTTATATATATATATATATATATATATATATATATATATATATATATATATATATATATGTATATATATATATATATATATATATATATATATATATATATATATATATATGTGCATTAATGTATATGTGTGTGTGTGTGTGTGTGTGTGTGTGTGTGTGTGTGTGTGTATGTGTGTGTGTGTGTGTGTGTGTGTATGTTTTTGTGTGTTTGTGTGTGCGTGTGCGTATTGATGTGTATGTATGTATTGCGTGCGCGTTTGTATGTATATATAGACCATAACTAACATTTCTTATGTGGACGAAGATGTCTACACGATATGGACTTATTGATAATTAGGCGTGACAACGCTGTGGCTGCGAGCGTTACGCCCGACGAACGCGCCGAGCGATGCACCGCCAGCCTCATTCCTGAACACATACGCGTCGCGTGATTCCTCTTGCTCAGCAACTGAATATTATTGTCCTTTTTTGGACGCCTCAAAATTCCCACGGCCTTGCACTCGCCTCATCTGGATCCATTTACTGGCTCCAACCAAAACATTCAGGGAAAGGAGGATTCTCAGTCAGACATAATTACGAATGCATGACTGACCCTTCTCCGGCGTTCTCTTCAGCCCCTTCAGTGCGCGGTCGGCAGCCTCTTTCGTCATGTAGCTGTCAGAGGGTGTAGTGTTACAGGCTCACAAAGAGTCCTGAAGTGGCCTCAAGTGGATGGGCTTTGATAGATGATTTTGCTGTGTGTGTTTGTTTGTGTGTCCGTCTGCGTAGGTGAATGCGCGATGGTAATTGTTTGTATGTCTGAATTTATGGAAGGCAAGGCTTATATACGTTTTTTTTTTCTTTTCGAAAATACGGTACACGCGGTCATGTCTGCATGTGTGAATATTTATGTGTATATATATGTATATATGTGTATATATATAGATATACATGTACATCATATACATATACACATACATACATACAGTAGGTACACACACACGCGCACACACACACACACACACACACACACACACACACACACACACACACACACACACACACACACACACACACACACACACACACACACACACACGCACACACACATATATACATGCATAAATACATACATACATACACACATGCATACACACATGGATTTGCAAATATTGGGTTAGTCTTACGTAGATACGATAGTGGTGCCCGACTGTTTCCTTGTAATTCAATCCGTGTATGGTCAAAGGCTATGGGAGTTCACCCTATACAAAACAATCCACTGTCTTATGGGCATATATAAGATGAAAAAGTCAACCCTGGGGAAAAATCCGGAGCTGTGACCTCGTTCTAGCAACTCCTGCGACGCGGCTGGTGCCAAACCGTATCGGTCTATGCCGTTCCTTTGGATCCATCAGCTGCGTGGAGAGAGGGAGCCTGCTGCATGGGCAACAGCTTACTCCTTACATTCTATCGCCCAGGCATTGACTCTATAATAGACAATAATGCTATAGTCGACACTGACTAATGGTTGGCCCTGATATATATATATATATATATATATATATATATATATATATATATATATATATATATATATATATATATATATATATATATATATATATATATCGATTGACTAATTGTTTAGTTGACTGATGACGCATCATGCATATTTATGTTTATGCTCTTCAGTGACCAATCATGAAAGCAAAATCAGCTTTGCTTTACAAAGAGATGGGTGTCAGATTCAGCAAGAACTCCAGGAAATGCATCACTGAAGCTCAGACTCGAGGGCTTTGTAATTGGACGCACTTCACCATGACGAGCGTGCACAAACTGTGTGTGTAAACGAATCCTAGTTCCATTGACCTTTCTTGTAAGTCAGATATAATGATTGCGACTTTTTTAGCCATTTAAATGGCATTCCATATTCTTTTATAAATTTAAGGTAACATTTTTGCAGTTATTGAACTAACGGTAGCTTGCATTTCCGTATGCCTGGTTCTTATCATAGTGTAGCTTATTCATCGCATGTTGGATGGTTTACCTGACGGAAAGTCATAAATTTATAGGCTCCCTAGCTGTCCATTATTCAAACTTGTAAGAAAGATGACAGAAAGCCTCTCGTAAACATCTTGTACAGTAACATTAATCACATCTGCAATGTCAGCGCTAAGATTCAGTGAACTCTGGTCTTGTTTTTCATCAGAAGAAAAATGCTGTTCTTCTGGCGCCAAAGCATCACGATGAAGGTAGAGGTGAAGAGAGAATGTGTGTAACTATCCGGTGCTGTTTGTTAGTTGTCGGTTACATACAGAGATTGAAATCAAATCGATTTATACTGTGTGTGC